TAAATTATGCTCTAGTTAGTTTTAAAAAGTGTAAAAATTATAAAAAAAAAAGTTAATACTTTAAGTGTAGTAAGCATAGTTATATTTTCTAAAACTACTTTATTCCCCTTTTTTAAGTCTGCATAAGTAGCGCTGCTAGTACTTATTAAAGATTCTTACTATTTTAATCTTATTTTTATAAGGGCTCTAACTTATATTTAAGCCTTAATTTCTCTTACTACTCTTAACATAGCTGCAGCTATAGCAGTAGAAGCCTGTAAAAAGGCTTGTTCTAGGGCTAAGTTGCCCCCTAGGACTAATTTAACACTAGATCTCTGCTAACTTATAGGCTAAGTCCCCTACTAATAACTAGAAGTACTAAGTTAATATTTTTATATATTTATAATAAGAAACTATATTAGCTCTAATATAAGCTCTTATTAACTTAGAAGTAAACAGCATAAGTTATATTAATAAAGAACTAGCATGTAAACTAAATCTCTAATTAACACTACTTACCTAAATAATTTACTTAACTAGATTTAATAAAAAATAACTTAAAAAAGGTTTTATTTTCTGTACTATAACTATTATAATTACTTACTAACACTATAAGGAGCAGATTAAGCTCTATGTAATAAACATAAGATGTTATAACCTAATTCTAGAATAACTATAGCTGTATTAGCATAAAGTTGCCTTTAATTACTAAGAGTAAGTTCTAAACTTTAACTTTTTTTAATGCTAAAATATATGCTTACGCTTACACCTAAACAACACCTAAGTAGCACTTAATATAGAAGGTCTCTAGACCTACTTTTTAATAACTTAGAAAAGAACTACTTAAGTAAGGCTAATAAGCTAAGCCTTTTACTAAAATAGGCTATGTAAAATAATTTAATAACTGCTTAAACTTAAAGAAAAGAAAGCTTTTAAAAAATCTTTACTTACTTAATTTAGACATAAACTAGGACTTAAACAGTAGATAGACATCTGCTACATAGAACCTACTCTATTTATAACCCTAGCTTAATAACTAGATTACAAAATCTACGCAGTTATAATTTCTAATATAGACTAAGCTTTAGCTCTTTAAAAACACACTAACTTAAAGATAATAGTCCCTTAAAACTACTACAACTTGTTACATATTTTTTTTAAAATAAGTTTAATAAGCTTTTAATATAACATTTATATAATTACTAGATAACTTTTAAGCCTAGTAAATAACTTAGTTATAGGCTACTGTATAAGATGTTGCTAAATAAATTAAAAGTGCTCTAAAAATACCTTAATAAGAACCTAAAGAAAAGGTTTATTTAAGCTAGCTTTTTACTAGTAGTGTTACTTATACTATTTATAAAAAAACCTAGAGGTAGGCTTTAATTCTGCGTTAACTACTAAAGACTAAACACTATTACTATTAAAAACTAATACCTAATTTTTTTTTTATAAGAAACTCTAAGCTAACTAAGTAAAGCAAAGTATTTTATAAAGTTAGATATTATTACTGCCTTTAATAAGCTAAGAATAGTAAAGGGTAATAAGTAGCTAATAGCGTTTTAGACTTAATATAAACTATTTAAGTACTTAGTAATGCCCTTTAGCTTAGCTAACACGCTTAGTACTTTTTAACATTTTATAAATAACTTGCTCTAACCCTACCTAGATGTGTTCTGCACTATGTATATTAACAACATTCTAATTTATAGCAATAGCCTTTTAGAGCACAAACAGCATGTACGCCTAGTGCTAAAGGCTATAGAAGAAGCAGGTCTGCAACTTAATATAAATAAATGCAAGTTTTACTAATTAAAGGTTATATATTTAGAATATGTAATTTTTATAAATAGCATCTAAATAGACCCTGTTAAAGTTTAGACTATGCTAGATTAGTAATACCTAAAGAACATAAAGGATGTTTAAGCTTTTATAAAATTTACTAACTTTTACTAATAATTTATTAATAACTTTTTATAGTAAGTAAGCCTTATAATTACACTTACTAAGAAAGAGATTTAATTTAACTTTAACTTAAATTACTAATAGTTTTTTAACTAGCTAAAGAAAGCCTTTACTAAAGCCTTAATACTCTACTACTTTAACTTTAAACTACTAATACTTGTAGAAGCTAATGCCTTAGACTATGTAGTAGCAGAAGTTCTCTTTTAAACTAAGCTAGACAGGACTATTAGGCCTATTACATACTTCTTAAAAAAAATAAGCCCTATAGAAGGTAATTATAAAATCTATAACAAGAAATTACTTACTATAGTACACTGCTTTAAATAATAGCAACTTAAACTAGAAAGTGCAGCGCATCTAATACAGGTCCTATCTAACTATAAGAACTTATAGTACTTTGCAACTACAAAATAACTTAGCTACTAATAAGCCTATTAGTTTAAATACTTATCTTATTTTAATTTTAAAATTACTTATTATCCTAGTTAAAATAGAGAGAAACTAGATGCTTTTACTAAGTAATTCTAAAACATCTTTACTTAAAAAGAAGTGTAAAAAGCTTAATACTAAACTTTACTTTAACTTAAGCTATTTTTAGACCTTAACTTAAATAAAATAAATTAGATAATTAATTAAATTATTACTAATAAGTATTTAAATAATAAATTTATTTAAAAAACCTTAGACCTACTCTAAAATAGCGCTAGTTAGTTAAAGAAAGTAACACTAGCTAACTATAAAAACTAAAATAGTAAGCTGTATTACTGTAACTAACTTATAATTTTTAATTCTAATAAACTAAGAATTAAACTACTCTAAATTATACATAACTTGCCTATTAAAAGACACCTAGGCAGAGGAAAGACTCTTAACCTACTACAGAGAGAGTACTACTAGCCCTGCATGTTCTATACTGTACACTAATATGTATTATGTTGCTATACTTACTGTAAAGTAAAGGCCTTTTAAGAAAGGTATAATAGCCTACTTAAACTACTTTTAATCTCTAAATAAGCTTAAAAAAATATATTAATTAATTTTATTATAAACTTACTTTTATCTAAAGAGTATATAAATATTATAGTAGTTATTAATTACTTAACTAAGTATTAACACCTAATACTATATTCCTCTATAACTGCCCCTAATATAGCCTAGTTATTCTACTAATATATATAGGTTTACTATAGCCTGCCTAACATAATTATATTAGACAGAGGTACACAGTTTGTCTTAGCCTTCTAGAACAAACTCTATAAACAGCTCTAAATTATCCCTTATTTATTTACAGCTTTTTACCTAGAAACTAACAGCTAGACTAAGAACGCAAACACTATAATAGAATAAGTCCTATAAGTATACATAAACTACTAGTAAGACAACTAAGTAAAATAGTTAGCTATAGCATAGTTTAAAGCTAATAATATAACATTTAAATTAACATAAGTATCTCTGTTCTTAGCAAACTATAAATACTACTTTTAAATAAAATTTAAACTACTTTTAAATACCTTTTAACTAACTTATTAATTTATATAAGTAATAGATATAAACAGACTTATTAATAAAATCTAAAATATATCTAAATATATTTATAAAAAGCTTACATAGGCTTAAGCTCTTTAATAAGAGTACGTAAACTAATTCTAAACCTCTGCCTCTGTGTATGCAGCTAGCAAGAAGGTCTAGCTAGACACTAGAAATATCTAAATAAACTAATAATTAAAGAAACTTAATTAGAAGAACCTTAGCCTTTTTATAGTAGCTTATATAGTTTTATTACATACTTACTAATTAATCCTACCTAACAGCATAAAGATACACCCTGTGTTCTATGTATTGTTGCTGCGCTAAGTAGCCTCTAAATCTAACTATCTACCTAGACAGCTAAACCTACTACCTAAACTTATTATTATAAATAATAAACTAAAATATGTTATAAAAGACATTAAATAAATCTAGTTTAATAAAAAAAAACATATCTACAAATACTTTATAAAATAGACTAAATATAATAAACTGTTGTAAGAACCTATAAAAGCCCTGTAAAAAAACTCTACAGTAACTTAATTCTACGCCTAATACCTATCTAAACTAAACCTGTACCCTAATAAAAACAACTTAATGCTAGAACTACTAATGTAAAGGATTTCCTTTCTAATAAAGGGGGGGGTACTGTTACAGTATCCTCCCTAGATCCTAGACATAACTATATTAGACGTGTACTAGAGTATTATTAGTGCACGTCTAACATAAACATAACACAACATAGACATAAACTTAAGTATAAACTGCTTTAACACTAACTAAACCTAGAATAGGCTTAATTTATACTTAAAGCGCTTAGACTTCTAAGCTAAGTATTTAATTACTAATTTCCTTTTAAACCTTCTTGTTCCTCACACAACGTCTTGTACCTACTATAATACCTCACGTAGTAATTGAACTAGACCTCTGTGAAGCTCTATAACCTTACTCGTGCACAATCGTGACAATAATAAGTAATTTAGTTATGTATAAAGTTTTTAGCTTAGCGCTTATATACTTTTTTAAAAAGTAAAATAACTTATATTAAATAGCTATAAAAAGTGTAATAAGTAAAAAAGTATATAAATAGTAATAATTTTACTATCTTTATAGTATTATAAAAAATAAAGTAAGTTATTAGTAAAGCTTACTATACTTAATATATTTAAGTTTATAAATTATAAAGTTAAGTAAAATCTTTTTTTAAAACACACTAATTAGTTAGTATATTTTGCCTAGTAAAATACTATAGTGTTTTATACCTAAAATGCTTCTAAGTGATTGGCGATTTGTTTTTTCCCTTCACTAGCTAACAGTCCGCCGTACTCGTTACTCGTATAATGCGAACATGCTAAGCTGTCATGTAACAATGTGAGGGAAGACATTTGGCCCCATGATGGATCAGGAAGTTCTAAAAATAACTGGGGCGGGACAACTAGCGGTTTCATGATGACGCTTGCGCTATTGACCTGAATACAGAGTCCGATACTTCACTTGCAAAGCACAATTCCTGCGATGTACAAGCGCTCATGGCGGACGAAGACAAATGGGGTTTTCCGATTTCGTGCGCGGCAGATGCCATGGGAGGGACGGCTCAACCCTCAAAGGGAGCCGAGAAAGACGAATGGGGCTTCCCCATCAAACCCAACAAGGCCGCAATAACACCGCCCAAGATACCACAAGCCGTCGCCGATGAAGATGAATGGCGATTTGATGGCGAGGCGAAGCCGGAGGGTAATACAAGTCGCAAGACAACTGGGTTCGCGAAAGAGGAGGACGGGGACTTTCCCACCACCAACGCGACACAAACGTCGGGCGAAGATACGTCGGATTTACTGAAGAAGTGGGGATTCGAAGATGGGGAAGAGCTCAAGACTCCAAAAATTGCCCTAGAAGGCAGATCATCTTACACCAATGCTGTGGGATCTCTCTTCGAAGGCTGGAAAACAGCTACAAGGTCCGGAAAGCAGGGCACATCACTCTCAACCTTCACAACCATCCTCTCCAACCTTGACATCTGGGGTCCACAGCATCTTCTAGTTTCAAATCTAAGGGACATGGCTTTTGAAATTGGCCAAGGCACGCAATTTACTGTCTTTCGCGACCGGCAATCTGCTGAAGCAGACGACGCTTCAGGGAAGATTGTAGAAGGGAAGGGGATGGTCATCAAAAGGGTGCGGATATCGAAAGCCGCTTTGAAGAGCCAGAAAGATCTCGCGGCGAATGAGCAGTATTTACAGACTTTGCGACATCTCGAGCTCGAGGTTTTAAGCTTGGGCTTGCTGCGTCATCGCAATATCGTCAGACTCTTGAGTTGGGGATATGACTATGAAGATCGCTATACGCCGATACCCGTCCTGTTCATGGAAGCGGCTCTAGCTCCATTGACTACCTTTTTGCAGGCCGAGAAAGGTGGAGAAGGTGTTTTGGCAAGCGCTGGAAATAAGAAGTGGGACATCAAGTACCACCTCGCTCTCGATGTTGCCGCGGGTCTTGAAGCGATCCACAGTTTCAATATCATTCACGGAGATATTAAACCGGACAACGTTCTAGTCTTCGGGACTGAGGACCCAAAGGTACCCTACGTGGCGAAGCTGAGCGATTTCGGCGTTTGTGTGGATATGCGGAGTCAAGAGCAACTCATCACAGCTGAGACATACCTTGGGACAGAGGTGTGGACTGGAAGCGAAGTGGGAATTGGACAATGGAACGATGCGGTCCATGGCGAGTTTCACCCAGATCTGCTGAAGCGATGCGACTCCTACAGCTTTGGTCTTCTGCTCCTCTCCATATTCGGCACATACGGCGACCCGCCTTTGATCACTAAGGAGACTGGACCGGACAGGGCGTTCGGACTCTTCATGGAGATCCAGGAAGTAATTGAAAATGCAAAAGGATGCCCGCAGGATCTTGTCCAGAAGTTAAGGGAAGCGACCAAAAAACTGCTCGCTATCAAGCCGGCCGATCGACCTTTACCATCACCCCTGCTTTTGCAAACGGAGCTTCCAAGTTACGCCGAGTTTCTTCGACTCACTGCGCTGTCTGCACAAGAGAGTCGGAGCGTGCGAAGCAGGGGTCACGCATACTGGTTTGCACTGGATATGAACTTACTTAAATCTCTTGACCAACAATACGCCCAAGCGGAAGAGAGCGGCAAAGGGAACTCGTTCTCCCCGGAAACACTCTTTGGTATGGCAGAGGCCTGCGCGAATCAACCAATCGATGACTGGGTAGCCAAGGTGCTCAAGTATGTGCGTGCGGCAGCGCTCCGCGGGTACACTCCAGCAAAGGCTGTCTGCGCCAAAGTTTTCGAGGCTTTAGGGAAGGAATTGGAGATCGACGAAGCGACACTGCAGGAATGGACAAAGACTGCTGTATCAGACGGGTATCTCTTCGCGCATCATCTATTCATTGATAGTACATTGTACGCAGACGAGTGGAGAACATTCCGCAAGAACGGTGGATACTGTGCGGATGCCTTCTTGAGCATGTCGAAAGTCCTAGGCGTGGCGAAAGACAGCGAAAGGCTGAAAACGTGGCTCGCGGATAATACCATCGACACCGCCGTAGATTCGACTGGCAACACAATGGTACACGTCTGTGCTGCACTCGGACAGACGAGAATGCTCGAGATTCTCTTACCAAGATGCAGTCTTGAGCTTCAGAACGGAAATGGAGAGACACCCTTGTACAAAGCATGCCAGGCCGGCCAGGCAGAAGCAGTCCGAGTGCTCTTGGACTACGGTCACAGGGCCACTCCCACGAAAGGCACAGACATCTCACCATTACACTGGCTCTTTGTTTTCGCGGACGAAGACATACCTGCCGTGGCCACCGCTCTGGTAAAGCAGGGGGGTGCCGACGTCAATCATATGATGAAACCCCCTCGGCCAAACAACCGACCAGAGCGGTTGCAGATAAGACATTTCCCCTTTGAGCTTCCCCTTGGCACGCCATTTCACTGGGCAGCCTTCGCACGCAAGCGGAAAGCAATGGAGACTTTGTTGGAGATCGGAGCCGACATTAATGCAACTTACGATAATGGTAGCCACCGGACCACACCGCTCGCTCTTGCAGTCTTTACCGGAGATGTTCCTGTCGTTAGATTTCTTCTCGAGAACGGTGCGCATGCGTCTGTGCCCAATAAGGAAGGGGAAACCCTTTTACATCTTATGAGCTACGGTGCTGGGAATGAAGAGGGCTTGTCCGCCAGGAAATGGGATAGCTGGATCAGGCATGGTAGCTGGGAGAAACGCCTTCAGGCTAGCAAAGAGATTGTGGAGCTATTGACGAAGCTGGGCATGGATATTGAAGGAAAGACTACAACATACGGCAATTACACGCCCCTGTATACTGCATCTGACACATTTTTCCGCAAAGAACATGTTGTCTGGGCCTTGGTCGACGCCGGGGCAAACACTGCCGTCACAAATCGCGTGGGGGAAAATCCGTTGCATCGCTGGTCTGAGATGGTACAGGGAGACCTCCAGTATCCGCACGTGTACCAGGACCTCTTGCGTCACCTAATCAGACATACGAAAGATCTTAACACCAAAGGCGGGTCGCTCGAAGAGACAGCGTTACACATGATCCAACTGCAGCGGATACCGACCAAGGAGCTTCTAGAGCAGATGGCGCTCTTCTTTGAGGATCCCGATCACAGCGCGGATGTTAACTCGCGAAATCGATACGGATATACAGCGTTATCGAATACGTGTATGAGTTTAGAAGCAGAAGGCCTGCAAGAGCGTATCGCCTTCCTTCTTCAACACGGTGCGAGGCCGGACATTATGAACAACTTTGAGGAGAATGTCATTCAGGCTGTCGTGGGCACCTACAGTCTCATGGACAGGGACTCCTTCGAGGCATTGAAGCTTCTACTAGGCCACCAAACGTTCACGCCTGTGACACTGCAATCCTTCATCAACGAAACCAACCTCAAAGCACTGGCGAACTGCGCGATCCACGGGCGTTTTCAGACGCTATCGTACCTACTTGATCTTGGTTTCAAGGAACGTCTCAACGAAATCGTAGAGATCGAAGGCAACAAAACGACCGTATTAGACCAAGCATTCTTCGCGGCAGATGTTGCGCGCTTGACCTACATCCAGTACGCAAGCGAGTTGCTTACAGAGGAGGAGGTTCTGGAGGCAGACAAGAACAACCAACTCTACACTACCAACGCTGGAATTCGCGGTACATATGGCGGTGCATCCGCACTTCGGGCTCGGGAATCATACTGGGCATTTCCGAAGATCCTTGCGCTTCTGAAATCGCAGGGTGCGAGACGTGTGGAGCAGAAAGGTCGAAGAGGACCCACGTGGACCGACTGTATACAATTGCCCAGGTTTGGAATGAAGAAGGAGACGCAGCCGAATCGTGAATACTGGACGTCTTTGTATGATTTCGAGGAGTTGCAGGAGGGATGGGAAGAAAGCGCATGGGAGTCGTTTAAGGAGAGTAACCCGGGGTATTTTAGGGAAGATGGGTTTGATGTGCCGGTCATGGTGTTTGAACAGTGGCCGGCAATTGCCGAGATGTTGCCCGGGAGGGACGGGTGGTATAGGGGAATTCTGAGGGGTGGAAGGAAAGTTGAGGTTCAAATGGGAGATGGGAAGATACAGGCGTTGAGGGACATGAAGGGTAGGCCACTGGGTGTGCATGAACGCTGAAGGGACGAAAGGTCTATGCCTAAAATCTGATTTCTAGACCTTGAGATTTTCTTGTCTCAACGACTCGTGGCTTGCCCAACGATCATAAACTAGGTACAGAGCCTCGTGACTGCTTGGGGGCAATCTGTCACTTCTCTCAATACAGAGGCTTCCGCAGCAAGGCATAAAGAGGAAATAAGGAAATTATCCTTGAAGAAGTATTCTGCTATGGGCATAGTATGCTATAGAATAATCATTACTGCCACTACTGCCCTAAAAAACACCAGCGCAGAGGAAGCCTGCAGGGTTAAAAGCCGCGTGCCCAGACCTCCGGCATATATCGTTCTGTTGTACCTAGGTACCTCCGATCCGTTTCAATGCGACTCAGCGAAAAGCCTCTGAGAACACAATAAAATAGGCTCCGGCTTCCATTGGCATGAGGGGCCTGCGATGGAAGCGCATAGCCCACTGCAAGGCAGCAACTGGCTCAGCCGGGTGGCGCTGCCTCAGCCCTCGGTTAACATAACGTTTCAAACAACCTCTCAATCCCGCGACCTAACATCACCATTCATCCCCACCCATCCCCAAGCCAAGCATCATGGATCCCTTCAGCACCTCGCTAGAGATCATAAGCCTAGTGTACGAAACCACGATCTTCATCCGTGACGTCACTGCCGAAGTTAAGAACTATGGCGACGCCAAGCGCGACATCTCTGAGCGCCTGGAACACGAACTCGTCTTTGTTGAAACATTCACGGATGTGTGCTTTGGCGAAGACCAAGGACTTTTACGGGATCCCAGGGTCAAAGACAGTGTGAAAAGAGATGTGAAGCATTGCTTGGATGCGCTGAGCAGAGCGTCGGCGGAGTATCGCGTTGAGGCTGAAAAGTATAAGGGCACCGTTCCGGATATAGCTGATGAGACCGCTGATGCGCTTGCGAAAACTGATTTGAAGGATGGTAGGAAGGGAGTGAAGGACAGGATGAAGGCGAGATGCGAAGTGTGGAAGAAGAAAGCCGCTCCGCTTGAGTGGGCGTTGTTCGGGAAGGAAGAGATGGAAAATTTGCTGGCAACGTACACGCAGTGGACCGATCGCCTACGGCAGACTCTTTCGATAGTCCTGTTGCTTGCTGGGACACCATCTCCGGAGTTTGCAGCAAGCGCGCAAGCAGCCAACTTGGGGATGAAGGAGGTATCCGAAAGGCAAGTCAGAGTACGCGGCACGCCGCCAGAGGAATATGACGCTCTCAAAGGCGAAATGAAGGATGAGATCACTACAAACCCGGGAAATGGCCTGATCAAGGGCGTTTACGAAGATGAATCTGGCTTCGACTCGATCGACGTAGTTGTTGAGATCCGGCCTTATGACGAAGCCCTTTCCCTAGTCCTGAGCGAACGAAACTATGAAGCAACGCAAGCGCTCAAGGAGCCGCTCCGCCAACTCACCTGGCTCCTACAAAGTCCCGTGGACTCCAATTTCTCGAGAGAGGACGCTGAGGATGGCTATCGCATGCATACGCTAGGCTGCATTGGCTTTTTAGATGAGCCCTCGAAGAACCGCAGCCTGATCCTCTACCGCTCACCTTCTGTGCCCTCGACTGCACAGGGGGTCCCCACCCTTCATAATATCATATGCAAAGCTGCGAAGCCCAGCCTTGGAAACCGTTTCCGCACCGCTCGCGCCCTTGCCTCTACCCTTCTTACCATCCATGCTTCAAGCTGGGTCCACAAAAACATATGCTCCAGGAGTATCCTCATGCTACCCGTGTCATCCACAGATTCCGAAAATCTTCCTTATCTCTTAGGCTGGGACGTCGCACGACCACTCGAAGCGGGCACATCACTTCATGGTATGTTCGACCTTGAGCCCAACCTTTATCGTCATCAAGCACGCTTCGGCAAACCATTTCAGAAGTTTTCCAATGAACACGACATCTACTCTCTCGGCGTTGTGCTTCTAGAGATTGGCTTATGGAAGACCATGTCAACCATCTTCGCGCGGCCCCTCGAGAAACATCCTAGAATCAAGACGACTGAACAGCACGACCTATTTAGACGCGTAAACGGGATGATTATCGACCTAGCTAATAGCCCGGATTTGAAGAGAGAAATGGGTGAAGGTTACGCGGCTATTGTACGGAGATGTCTTGCCTGGGAAACGAGTGGGACCCACGAGGATGCTGTTGAGCATTTGATTAGTTTCCGCAAGACGGTCGTGGACGCTCTGTCACCAGGAAGTAAGCTGTAGAGACACCGAGGCTCTTAGCCATTGCGCACCAATTAAGATCTCCTTTTCTGGGGAGCCTCGAATTGTTGCAATACTTTGAAATTAAGGGCAGATCTAAGAATAAGGATTCTAGCAATATTACTCACGCACATTGACTTTCTGTGCTCGCGCACTTCTCCAGCGTGCATCGTTAGAGCACCAAGCTTCTAGATTACAGAAATGTGGAGATGCGGTGGGATTAATTGCGCCGTATCTTCGCGGCGTGATCAGTGCTGGCGGGAATCGGTCCGAATCAATTATCCGGAATCACGTGGCGCTATCCTGGATCTAGATCGGATCCATGAATTAATTCAGCGCTAAGGCTAAATAGGCAACTATTCTACACAATTAGTCTTTTACTTAATTTTTTATGCTATTATACTCTTAATAGGTTGTATAATAAACATTTAATAAAAATTTAGCTTAAGACAAAAAAATTCTATTTATAATAAAAGCAGTTAATAGCTTAAAATCATAATAATAAAGAGAGAGATGTATATTAAGCTCTACCTTATATAATAAGTATTATAAAAAGTATCTTCTTTTTATCTTATTATATAAAAACATAGACATTGCAATTTAAAACACTAAAAAGAATAATAAAAATAGCTAGAAGCTGTAAAGATAGGATAGTAAGTAGCACAGATAGCACTAAGAGCAAGCTTTTAGAGAAAGGTAGGAGTGTATTATAAGAGAGACAAATTACTGCTAAGCCTTACTTGTTAGAATTTATGTGTAACGATTCTCGTTCCATCTCAGGTCGCCCGGAACCTATCCGAAGGGTCCCTGTATTGGCTCTGACCCTGACTTGATTCTCATGAATCGTCAGGTCGCCCAGAACCTCCGGAAGGCCCCTGTATTAGCCCTGACCTCAACCTGGCCCTAACTATGCCCTGCCCCCTGCTGTTACTCTTATTCCCTTATGTATTTAGTTGCACCTCGCCCCTGTAGCTAGCTTAGTAGTTTTCTAATATCCTTTTATACAAGGCCTATAGGTGTTAATAGCATTCCTAGGTTTAGAGTCCCCACGCACTTCTATATGCCTCTAAGTGGATTTCTACTACATTTAGACTTATTGTCTTGCCTGCGCTGTTACATTATATTAAAAAACTTGCTTTTGCTAGTAACAGCCTTATTTAATATTATACTAATTATTTATTTAACTATGCCTAAGCTCTAAGATGCGTCTAATTTAGTTTAAGTTATAATACTTACACACTATTATATTAAACTATCTAGTCTATAGACTAGATCTTATTAACCTTTAGTTAACTAAAGCCTTTAGGTTTAGAAGTTTCTATCCCCTATAATTAAAATTACCTTTAGAAAAGTTGTAAAAAGGCGCTAAAGTAGAGACTTAGAGACTACTAATAACTTATTAGAATTAGAGATAACTGCTAATGTCTAACTAACTACTACTACCTCTTAATTCTAGAATTAAAATACGCTCTAACTAAGGTAAGCCCTCTAGAGTTAATTAATAATTTATGTTAATAGCTAAACCTACTCCTACAGCACCTAAAGCTATACTTTTACTTAATTTAGAGTTAACTTCTAGCAGTAACGTACCTAACAGGTTAGCTGGCTACACAGGTTGGCTGGCTACTTTTGCTAAGCCCCTACTAAAACCACTCTATTCTAGCGCAAAACAGCCTACTTTAGCCCTGTATAGAGTAATATAACATAAGATATTATTTAGAGTCTACTTCTACTACTTTCTTATATATATGTAAGTTATGCCTAGTCTAATTACACTGCCTACATTACTTTTAACTTAGCTTACCTTCTTTAGCGCGCACTTGCGTCTTTAGCTTCTTCCTATTACTACACGCTTTAAACTCCTTTAAAGTAGTTAAACAAGCCTTATCCTTAACTATTAAGGTCTTTTTTGCCTAAATTTACTTCTTTTTATGCAATCTATGTTGCATAGTAGCCTTATTTACTGCTTAAAGCTCTGTAATCTCTTTTTATACTAACACTAGCTTATGCGTAATAATTGCTGCCCCCTTTACAACTTTCTTAAAGGCCTTTACTATAGACATTAGTAAGCTATTTATATGCCTTTAAATTTTTACCTTTATAAGCATTAATTACAACTTAAATTTAAAAGTATTGCTTAGAGTTTATAACTACTAGGGCTTATTATTAATAAGTAGTAGTAGTAATAAAGTACATAACTAGATGTTAAAGGCTATTTTAACTTATTCTAGGTTAAATAAGACTAAACTAGCGCTTTAAAACCCTTTTTAGATATTACTAAAAGTAATTACTACATTATAAGCGTGTATAAAGCATAGCAGAAACTTAAGTTTTATAATATAAGTAATTTAGTTACACATAAGATCTTTAGCTTAGCGCTTATACACCTTCTTTAAAAGGGCAAAACAACCTACATTAAGAGGCTATAAAAGGTGTAATAAGTGTAGAGGCATGTAAATAGTAATAATCTTATTCTTTTTATAGTACTGCTAGAAATTAAGCAAGTTATAGCTCTTATAGCTATTAATAATAAAAAGCTAATAAGCGCCTATAACCTTTTTTTTATATGCTTATTAAAGTGCTTTAACTACTGCAGCCTAAGCTTATTTATTGTCTAGCTGTTCTTAGAGACTGTAATAACCTAGTTTTAAAGTAGATTTTTCTTTTTATACTAGGCAAAGAAGTAATAGCAGCTTTTAAAGATAATAAAAAGTAAAATAGCTTACCTTGTTATATTAATACTCTAGATAACTATTATCTACTTTTTATTACTTTACTATATTGCCTTTAGCTGTTCTTGTCTCTTTAAAGCTTTAATAACTGCTCTAGTTAATATCTAGCCTATTATAAAGCTTAACTTATTAAAGTTATACATGTTTGTATCCTAGATACTGTACTTAGCTTTTATATTAGCTACTAGGCAAAACTAGCTTTAGATAACCTCTAGATCCTTATAAAGTGCTCTTTTATAATTATACTTATAATTAAACTTTATTATAAACTTAGGGCAGTGCTTAACTTACATACTAGGCTAGTTTAAGCTAACCTAGCCTAGATTGCGCTCTGCGCGCAAGGAATTAGCTATATTAGCTATAGCTGTAAGTCTAGAAGGAAATCTGTGCGTAATAAGCTTAAGTATGTTCTTAATAACTTCTTTTTTTTAAGCTTAGTTAGATTTTTTAATTTAGGCTAGCATTCTACTTATAAAGGCTAGCTAGCGCGTTAATTACTTAGAGTTGTGTAAAAAACATTATAAATAGCTATAGCGTGTTACAAGAAGAGTTTTAAGTTTTATTTAAAAGCCTAAAGAGTAGGCTGTATTTAATGTTCTTTAGAAGATTTAATCTAGTGTTATTATTAAGGCATTATGTAGATAGGTAGAGTGTGGTAGGGGCTTAGCAAAAGTGGCTAGCCAACTTGTGTGGCCAGCCAACCTGTTAGGTACGTTATAGCTATTAATAATTAAATTACTTAATTATAAGTACAGCTTAAGCAGCTAATCTAGCTAAGAACTACTAGTTAACCTTTACTAACTACTAAATTACTTTTAATAACGCTCTATACTACTCTTATTACCTTAAGTGTAAGAGACTTTTTAGGCACCTCTTAGACCTAGTAAATCTACCTTACTAAATATACACTTAAGATTAGGATTTTTACAGACAGCAAAGAACTTACATTTAAATAATAGTAAGCCTTTATTATAGATAAACTTAACATTAATTTAGATTACTATTAGAGTAAGTGTGCACACATAGCATTAATATAGGGACACATAGCTAGTATTGCAAAGGATTATCTAGAGCTAGGATACCTAGCTAAATTAGACTAGTTTTAGTTTAAAAGTGTAAAGGATAGAATAAAGCTCTTATAAGCTTATTTTATTACTAGTTAAAAGAAAACTAAGGTATAACAAGCGTTTTAGACTTTTAGAAGAGATAAAAAGAAAGCTTTTTTTACATTTAAAGCGCGCTTTATTAGTGCAGCTATTAAAAAAAAGTATTCTAGTTAGATTAGTTTTTTTACTTATAAAAGAAGCTTTCTTCTAGCCTATAAGTACTAAATTATAGTTTTAAACATACCTAGGTAAACTTTTTTAAAGCTATAGTAGCCTACCTTATAGCGTATAATCTAGAAAGGAGAACTTATAGAAAAGACTTTATTATTTTATCTAAATTAGCTTTAATTAATAAACTACACTTACTACTTTAATAATTAATAACTACATGCATAGCGTTTAGGTTTAGAGGACACTGCTAGTAGTATAAAGGAATACTTAGTAAGGACACCTAGCTAAATTAGACTAGTTTTAGTTTAAAAAGGTAAAGAACATAACAGTAATACTTTATACTATAATTACTACTAATAAGGACTATTAGTTTATAGAGGGGGGGGTAGTGTAATAATTCTTATTTTATTTTAAGTTGCCTAAAACTTATCTAAAGGGTCTTTATATTAGCACTAACTCTAACTTAATTTTTATAAATTATTAAGTTGCTTAGAACCTCTAAAAGGCCTCTATATTAACTCTAACCTTAACCTAGCCCTAACTATGCTCTACCCTCTGCTGTTACTCTTATTCCCTTATATATTTAGTTGCACCTTGCCCCTGTAGCTAGCTTAGTAGTTTTCTAATATCCTTTTGTACAAGGCCTATAGGTGTTAATGGCATTCCCAGGTTCAGAGTCCCCACGCACTCCCATATGCCTCTGAGTGGATTCCCACCGCATTTGGACCTATTGTCTTGCCTGCGCTGTTACATTATGCTTATATACAAAGCATAGGTTATACAACCTCTAAACAGGTTAGATAAGGCTATACTAGCCTGTTCTAGAACATCTAGCCTTACATTATCCCCTCTTATAGTAGTTCTATAACTTAGAGGATAAAACAGATAATAATAAGCCTAAGCAGTATAAAAAAGTGTTATATAATACCTTAAAAACTTACTTCTACTTATTTTAGTTAATTTTATGTAAGTTTATTTAAAAATAAGCTAAAGTTATTAAGTAAAGGTAAAGTAAAAGTATAAAGTAAAAGTAAAATAGTAGTATATCTTACACTAATAGAGTAGTAGTTAGGACAGTATATATAAGGTCTAACTGTTCTAGAAATCTATCTCCTTTACACTTTTACTCTCTCTATAGGTTAGAATTTAGAAAATTTTAAACTTTTTAAGTTAAGTATATTTTAAGCTACTCTAGCATAATCTAGTGTAAAAGGGTGCTAATAAACTTTAATAGTCTTATTCTACTTTACTTACACCTGCCTGTTGCTTAATCTGCTTTTAGCTTGTTCCCTTATGCTTAACTTTACTTAATAACTTTACAATAAACTTTTATAGCCTACTTTATTATAAT